TAGTCTCCTTGATGAGAAAGGCAATTTAATTAATGTGCCTTAATTCCTTTAAAAAAGTTTAATGTCATTAAATTGCCAAATAGTTAAATAAATTCTCATTGATTAATCGTCAAAAAATACAAAAAAAAAGTTCCTATAAACATGGCGGGTGCGCAAATGCATAGCTATAAAGTTACAGGATGTAAAAAACATTTCTTACAAATCGACTTGGTCACTTTCTCTTGTTTACCAACGATATACAAAATATTGCTTTTATTATCTTTATTCCCCGACAAATATGTTTCTAATTATAATTTATTTTCTATAATATTTAGAAAACTCATTTTTTTTCGTTTCTATTTATTTCTTTACCCATACAGTAACTATTTATAAGCTATACAGACAAGTTTTAATAATAGTCTATTTCAAATTTCCCGCGAAAAAAAAATAATTAAAATTTAAAAGGACAAGCGAGACGAGATCACTCTCCCCACCACTCAAACATGAAAGGTACCGCGCGAACTGTCGTCTCTTGTCTTATCTACTCTTTGCTAATACCATATTTGGAACTCTTACTTTGTTTATAAATACCATCTAAAAATGGCAGTTTTCTGTTATTTTAAACTGCAGTGAAAATAAGTAAAATCATAAAATCAATATTTCTGTAGCTTGCAGCTCATTTATCTTAAAACAATTATTTTTTTAAACAACTGTCTAAACTCTGTTTTTTTTTCTCAGGTAAGATTTCGACAGACGATGACAGAAGAAAAACAGATGACGTCCCATACCAATCTATTTATTTTACTAAAAAAAGTTTCTAATAATTTTTAAGTTAACTATGGATGGGTTTAAATATAAATCCGTTATACGTCGTCTGTTATTGATTTTAACCAGTTTTATTGGTTTATTTCAAAAATGACAGATCGTATTTCAATTTTATTGGTTTGACGGAACGATGAACGACAAACGGACGCCGATGCGTATGAACTCGCCTTTAGATTTTTGACGCTTGTCAAAGTCTTGCCAAATTATAGGTTATAATTTTGTGTCAACTTTTGTCAAATACCTTGCGTTTTGGAAGATAATGCATTTTGATTCGTGTTATTACCTGTGTTTTGTGTCTTTTGAAGTCAAGTGGAGGAAAAATCGAGTGAAAATTAACCGGAGCCCAGAGCACAGTGTATGGTTAATACTCGCTGCCCAGGCCGAAAATCTTATACGCCAATAAAGTTACAAGTTACCATCAATAAAGTTCGTATACCATCTCGTCGTAGATAAGTGCATCTCGAATATGGTAGGACCATACTAAACACATACTAAAAACTGGAGTAGCTGTAAAATATCGACATCACACGATAGGTGAATAATGGATTTTAGTACTGCAGAAAAATAATGTCAAAAGGTACTGGTTTAAAAATATTAAGATAATAATTAATCAACCTTTAAAGTATAAAATTTGGTAAATGTTATTATTAATAAAATAGTTTGTTTTATTTATTCCTGTGGAATATAACAAAGTTGTATTTGTACATATAAGTTATATTGATAAATATAATCATAAATGCGGGAAGTTTTCATAAAGCTTGAAAGTAAGAAATAGTTCTTTTTCTATTTTTTTGGTATATGGTGTCTTGTTCTTGTTTGTTTTGTATTAACACATACCGTTTTGATTAAATAAAATAACTCAATTACATTTTTTCAGTTTTATACAGTTTTTTTCACAATATTTTGAAGTAATCACTTGTCAGTCAAATTTTAAATATTTCCTGCTATGCGTTCCAGTTGTACCAACTTATTTCTTTGTAAAATAAAATAAACTACTTTGAAATTAAAATGACAGACACATCTATCACTGTCAAGGATCTTCTCGTGGGACAGACTATAGTTTATAGCTCATGGCGCAGAGATTCCAGCATCACATCGCAACGCTCGCTGTTAACCGCCTGTTATTTTATTTTGTGAAATAGTTAATAACGAGCTAGGTAGAATTTTGTGAAGCGGCGATTCCTATATCAAGTAGCAGCCAACGGTCGCTGTCAGCAATATATTCATACCTGTTATTTTTTGAAACAATTGCCGTAAGCTTGTAGAAAAGGTGGAGCAGCAAATTATTTTCGTTAACTGTTATTTTTAAGAAGCAATAACTGTTATGCTTATAGATAACAGCTAATAAATAAATTATTCAATAACAGACCGTCTTCAATATCTTATGTCAAAGTGGCTCTCACAAGTCACTTTTCTCATCAAACTTCCAAACTCTGCAAAAAGAAAACTCTTTGAACTGGAAGCAAAAGTAAAGAACGAAAAAGTAGAAAGAATCGTACGCTCGGTTGCCTGTCTTTAGAACGGCCCTAACCGTATTATTTCTCTTATAAAATGCAGAAACTTCGTCTCAGATTAGGCGAGTTAGCCTTAATAATTCAGGAAAGCCGAAAAGATTTCCCGTCTCTTCGTCCGTGAAAAATACATTTTCTAGACGGCGAGGGCGAAGCGGCCGAGAGAGATTGTTTGTTTTCGGGATCAAAGATGTTTTCCTACAGTTTTCCGCGTTCCGAAATTTAATTTTCTCGAATTTCCTGCGCTTTAATGAAACTTCATATTTTAACCGTATTTACCGAAAATTTGTGCCTGTTGTGTATGTTACGTTAGAGGTACTTTAAACATTCATTACTTTAAAGGGTAAAGAAGAGGACGTTGGTTGTAACTCGAGAACCGTTAATGATTATTTATACAGGGTGTCCCACTTAAGAGGGATACAATCCAATATCTTGATTGTTTGTTGAGAGATCTTTTTCATTTTTGGCAAAAGGCTGTATGGCTATAAGACGTACATTTTGCCCAGGGTAAGAAATGCGATACCTCATAGACATATCATATTCAAAATGTTCTCGTGAAGCACTCAGTAAAAACCAAAATCAGATAACGATAAAAAAAGAAGAAAACCTTCCACACCTCCACCGTCATTCACCTCCAACCAACCTCACCTACTCCTACATTTCCATCCATCTCCCCTCCACCTCCCAAACTCACTTTTTATACCGCAATATTTCATAACAACCACCACCACCATCACCCCCTGACCCCTTTTACTGACATCCCCCTATTCTATCCATCAACAAGAAGAGGGGTAACGTCGTTACGTCGCTCTTCAGCGTCATCGCGACGTCGAAAAAGCGTCGGCTCCGCCCCGACGCCTTTAAACTGCCAATAACAGTGCTCGCCGGAATATAGGCTCCTCCCCCTTCAAATAGGGATAAGAGAGGGGGTAATAGACGCCTAGGGCGCCGCTTAGGGTCGATACGAGCGCCGCCGCTGCGCCCTTAGGGCGCCAGTGTAGCGGACGGATTCGGGATGTGCGGTGGTTTTTTTTGAAAGCGAGAGCGGTAAAGCTCGTGAGGTGTATTTTTTTCGGTGTATAAATATTAGGGTTTGTTGAAAATAAGAGAAAATGATTAATTTTATTAAGGAGGAACGTGATGTTGATATGTACCGGGTGCCACCGATTTGTTTGGATGAAATTCCGGATATATTCCTAAGTAAGTGTAAATAAACAATTTAACATTGTGGTTAAACCAGTACCTCTAAGTTGCGCTCAAATTGTCAGTAGTTTTGTATTTTAACTAAGGAATCAGTTTCACAAAGTAGGTAAAATTTTGCCATCAGTACGTAACTTCTTGATATATGAAACGCATTTTATAAAATGATAAGTAGCTCTTCATTTCATATAATCGAAAAAAAGCGGCGTCATAGTTGGCTTCAATATGAAGACTGCTGATAGTTTAAATGAAAAATTATATTCTGAATGTCATCGATCATCCTTTCCCAGCCAACTTACGCTAAAATTATACGGGTTGAGCCTTAAATTAGTACCTTAAATAAGTAGATATTTTTGTGGGTAGTATACTTCGACCTAAATGGTTCTCAAAATTTAAGCAACAAATAATTTTTTCATTGTTAAAGTAAAATAACCAGGGTATTTTGCACTTATTTGTAAAATAAGTCCAAATAATAGACATATAACGGGTGCGTGTCAAAAGTTGCTCACCCCTATAACTTTCTTATTTTTTCAGATAAAAAAACGAGATTTGGTATGTTAGTATATTACATAAATTAGGATTGATTGACGTATTCAATTGTTTTCGGTCACTTCCTGTTTCACCGGAAATGACCACAACTTTTGATTTTTAAATGGCATCCTCGGAATTTTTTACAAATAAACAAACAACGCTTTATTGTACATAAAGCCAAAACGGCTTCATCGACAAAGCACTCACAAAACAAACAAAAGCACAAAAAAATACACAATACAAATAATACAATTCAAAAAAATTTAAGTCTCATTAAAATAACAAAATAATATACATGGACAATTGCAGAACAGTACGCAATAAATAGATATAATTTTAGAGTTATAAAATATTAAATACTTGACCTTTGACCAGTGTGTTAGATTTACTTAATTTGATAGAAAATGGCAGTCTGAATAGAATGACATATTATATGTCAACTTTTGAAATTATCACTTAAAAACAATATTATTTTAAATTTCAATCTAGTATGCTGCGGCTGTCTTAAAAACACTAATTTTTAATCAAGGAGCCTTGGAAAAATAGATATAATCGTCTAATGTTTTTAGTATCTTGTCCTGATCGGTTAAAAGATGCCCAAATCATATTTTTAATCATATCTCACTTTTTTGAAAGGGAACGAGGGTGGCTGAGCATTTTTTACAAATAATTTGGTACCACACACTTGGTATTTCGAGTTAATTTGTCGTTATGAACCTCATATTGCAATTTCAAATAAACCATATGCGAAAATGTCAACAGTTGACATATGATATGTCATTCTATCCAGAGTGTCATTTTCTAACCAATAAAGAAATGAAGATCGCTGTCATTTCCAACCCAAGCCAACTGGACGCCGTTTTTTTTTCGATCATACGGTATTATAAGCATTCAAAATGTTTAATAACTTTATGGTTAATTCTTTTTGATAAAAAAAAACAATTTTTTTTTCAGCTACTATACCAAAATGCGGTGGCTGTCACGAACTGATCCTTGACCGATTCATCCTGAAAGTAGCGGACAGGACGTGGCATGCCAAATGCCTACAATGCACCGAATGTAGAGTACAACTAACCGACAAATGTTTTGCAAGAAACGGACAATTATTTTGCAAAGACGATTTTTTTAAGTAAGTGTCAAATCTTTCTAGATTATTACTTCACAATCAGACAATATACTGTATAGATATTAAGACATCATAATATATGTTTAATTCTAGAATATATCGTGTGTCTACAATCCAAACATATGTCTTATAAAAATTATTAGTTTCATTTTTAAATTATTTTCATATTCATTAAGTCCATAATAGCGATATATTTGTACTGGAAAAATACATTAGAAATGATTATTTTCTCGACTTATATTTTGTGTTTTGATAAAAGGTATAGTCTGTGAAACGAATAACTTTGAATTTGACAGTTCCCGCGGGCTTTTCTAGTGATAATTTTATTAGGTTAGCAACTTGCGGCCATGCTGGCGCAATACCGTCTCTAATAGAACAGCCTCGGAGCGAGATTTATGACGTCACGCTAGTTAGATACTACGGATTAGTAAATATGTTATAGAATACATGGAAAACATAATTATTTTTCGTATTTATGGTTTGTATTTTAAAAATGATATAGTTTACAGTTAATAAATACAATATATATATATACCTATTTATAGTAATAAATACTTTGGCAAATAAACTATGAACCATATAAATGCAGCATATGTTTTACAGTATGGCTGAAATCATATTCCATAGTCAATGTAGATAGTTTTAGTGTTAAGAATAATAATTTAAAAAAATATGTGGTCATCTTTTGTCAAGTTTATATTAGTTTATTAATTGCAGTAAACATTATGTTGTGTGTGGGGTGAATATTTTATATGTAATTTTTTGGATTATATTTGACACTATTTTTTTCATATGACACAACACTGATGGAGGCTATAATGTTAGCCAAAACTTTTTTTTAACGAAATAAAAATAATGAAAAACCAAATGAAAACTTGATCAGCGTTTTTCCCGAACCTAAATCCCAAGAAAATCAAAAATTTTAGAATAATTTTACATATAAAATGACAGGCGATCTTTATTTCATAGCCATCGCTGACGCCTTTTTTCTATGATATTGTATTATTTGCAAATATAATTTTTCGAACATTAATAACAATACATCATTATTAGTAGATATTGAATATTTTTTGTAAAAATAAGATCGATTTTCAAACCACAAAATTTAAAATATATTTTACATTTTACCCATTATCTTATGTACCTATTCATTATTTGTATATTGTAAAACATTTGCTGCATTTGTATGGTTCATAGTTTATTTGCCAAAGTATTTATTCCTATAAATAGGTATATTGTATTTATTAACTGTATATTATGTATATTTCATGTAAACTGTATCATTTTTAAAATGCAAACAAAAAATACGAGGAATAATTATGTTTTCCATGTATTCTACAACATATTTATTAATCCGTAGTATCTAACTAGCGTGACGTCATAAATCTCGTTCCGAGGCTGTTCTACTAGAGACGGCATTGGTTTGATATTTAGAAATATCAAAAGCTGATGACATTTTACTTTTGACAATTATGACATTTCGTGTTGATTTTTGCAAGAAGAGGAAGAACTGTCACTTGTTTTAATATTTTCCTTTTCTACTTCACGAAAGTAAAAAGAGTTACCGATCTGATTCGTTCAGGCACTCAATTTAAAGAATATCAGTAACTTTGTTGACAGAGGGATTTTATATTTGCCATGTTGGTAAAAAATAACGGTCAAAATTCAAAGTTATTCATTTTATAGACTATACATGTGCTTTGCTTGTATATAGACGATATATTCTAAATACAGTTCATACCAAATAAACTTTTAGGTCATTACTTCCACTTTCTCGTTCAAAATATTCTAATAAAGTTGCGATGAGTTTTTTACGGCTATTAAGCTGTCTTGTACACTTTGCATTAAAAGAGGTTCTAAAAAGAATAACACTATTTATTTAAAAAAAAATCGTAATACATAACTAAAGTGTCAAAACAAATGACAATGTCAGGAAATAAATAAATAAATGCGGCAACTTGACATTTCTTTCAGCAAAGCTACCACCTGAATTCCCAGCGGGAAATTTAAATTCCAGTTAGTCAGCACGGCGCCGAATATGTCCATTGTTGGCAAAAATGAATTTAAAAATCGCGCCCTCGATTACGTAACTAAAAGTTTAATTGATATGAAATATATATGAATAAAAATTTAAAATAAAGCTCTAATGATTTTTTTTATTGCCAGATGAATAAAATTATCATTTTGACTCTATAATCTGTAATCTATTCTATACCATCTAAATAAAATGACAATAAAATTAGAATATGATTTAAAACATATTTGTGCGCAAATATGATTTCTATTACCATATTTAATATTTATTGACTCTATAGTGTTGTCTGTTTATTGTGTGTATATCCATAAAAAAATACATATTAAGCGGAGTGTTAACAGAAGCCTCCTATACGCCAATTTTTGTACAACCTGCTATATCTGAATATAAATTTAATGAATTTGAAACTTTTTTTATGCATCACGTCTCAGATAGTTTAGTTTCAAATAATATTTTCAGCACACCGAGTGTAGAAAAACCATCTGACAGTAAATAATAAAGCTCACTAATTTGGGCAGGCGTGTATATAAAAATATAAGCAAAATGTAAACAAACCGTTTGTTATTTAACTCTTTTGTTATCAAGTTTTTGAGAAAAAATCATTCTTTATAAAAGTTCTAAAATGATTAATCCTGTTTAAACTTTTCCAAATTTCCATACAAAAAAATTATTTCCTCTTGTAAAGAGACAATCCGAGAACATACTGTATAATTATAATCATACGATAAAAGGAGGCTTCTCGAAAGACACCGCGCAGTCGCTAGCGCACATATATTTTTTATGCCTTTATGCTGTGGGTGCAGGCGTTTCGGCACCAAGTGCGCAGGTTGCGAGCTGGGCATCCCCCCGACGCAGGTGGTGCGCAGGGCGCAGGACAACGTCTACCATCTCCAGTGTTTCGCGTGTGTAATGTGCGCTAGGCAGCTCAACACCGGCGACGAGTTCTACCTAATGGAGGACAGGAAGTTGGTGTGCAAACCGGACTACGAGACGGCCAAATCTAAAGGTAAGAGGAAGGTTTATAGCACGCTGATTTAGTTGGTAGAAAAACAGCTTCTTACTATTTTATACATAAGTACATGGTATCTACCAACGGCTAAATAATACAAGGACATGTAACGCTCATATATACTGGCTGCAACAGAATTTGTGATGTTATGCACCATTTTTTTGGACGTAACGAATGAGTCATCAGTTGGTCATTAGCGACAATTTTATTACAAAAATATTAATAGTTTTTCAAGCAGCTATGTGAAGAAAAATATGTGCCACGGCACCACGGCACTGTTTGGAGATATAGTAACAATTTTGGTTTCGGGTGGTATTAGTCTTTGGTCATTGGTATCTACATTTTATCACCAATTCAGAACAGCGCTGCCTGGAGGTTGTACTACAAAAATATACTCAAGGTTTTCCATTTCTCTCCTTGAGGTAGCGGCTTGTTTTGGTCTCTCTGTTTTAGTGATAAATCTTTTTATTTAAATAAAGTGACTGTACTAGCTGGGGATCAACATTTCTATGACAAGCAGCAACAGTCACTTACAAATATTGTTCTTATTAGATACTTGCCTCGACGATGAACAAAAAAAACTAAATCTAACCAAGAATAGTTTATACATGATCAATTATACATGATTATTGTAAAATGGGCAGTCAATTTTATAAATGTAAATATGTATTTGAATATATAACCGAAAATACTTTAATAAGATAAACTATAATATTTCACAAAAGCAGCTAAAAGAAACCATAATATAATAAACAAAAAAATAAAGAAAATTAAAATAAAAAAACAAGATAGAGAAATAACTTTTGAACCCAAAACATAATAAAAATTAATATTAAAATTAAAACAGCAGAAACGCCTTTTTCTGTCTTGTTCAAAATCTGTCAAATTCACAATATTAATACTTATTCCTGTACTGAGTGGCGTTGTGAAAAATAGAGATGAATTTTAAAAAATTGGCGCCGGAAGGCACGTATAGCCGCCCATACTAAAATATGTTAAAATGTTGGTAGGCAGTTCTTTTAGTTTGAAAGTAAAGGAATTTTTCCAATTTTGGTCCGCGGTTATTTCCCCTATCCGCCACTTGGGGTCGCGTCCGATGGGAGTTTGGAGTTCTCCACACGGATTTTCTCAAAACCGGACTACTGAAACACTGAATAGCTCAAAAACTGCAACTTTGACTGATTTTGATGTTATTACAAATTTTGTTGCAAATATTATTCCTAATCTTAAATTGAAAACCGCGTTTCGCTAGCTACTGTAATTTTGGAGTTGCGATTTTTTTAAATTTTTAACCCCCTCCCATAAAACCCCCACCAAAAACTAATGGCCAAATTCTCGGGTGCCACAGTATTTTTGTGCCAAATTTGGTTAAAATCGGTTTAGCGGTTTTTGAGTTATCGTGTTACAGACGGACAGACGGACATTTATGGTCATTTTAAGTCATTTATGACCCAAATTACTCATTTTGAGTGAAATTAAAAAAACTTTTTTTTTGTCGATCTTACTTTTTAGTATAATATAATTTCGAGGTTTTAAATGAAGGCATTTTGACAGATAAAATAATAATGATTTAGTATTAAAATCTAACTTTGATGAAATTTTTATTTTCTTCTGTATTTTTTAGCTTTACAATTCAATAAATCAAAACACTATTTCCGTCCGGACGACAATAAATAAATTCTTACATCCCACGATGCATATTCAAAACCTGTATAAAAAACATCAATTAATTAATGTCGCACATATTTTCTGCATGCATTCAATAAATCTATCTATTCAAGGTAATGAAATTCATGCCTTTTTAACTGAAACATTTAGTCCAGTTGACTTTTGTGCATGCTGCTCGCACATTCTTTGCCGAAGCAGTCGTTTGCATGTTCGCGAACAGCTTTCTACGTCCTTGTGGCGATTTTGTAATAAGCGCTTTACATAATTCGATTGTTTACAAAAGAGTAAATAGAAATTGTGCAAAACCTTGCGCATTCGCCAGAAATTTAACAGCATTTTATTTAGAGTATATTTTGGCATTTTTGTAGTTCTTTTTAGGTATACATAGGGGAAATGTTTTAATCATCTAAAAAATTAATTTGGGTAAAAATATTTCGAAATTTTTTTTTAGTTTTTAGTATATAAAAAAATGTACAGGGTATCCCATTTTCGTGTGTTTTGCAGAGTTTCTCGTTTGTGAGTAGAGATACAAAGATGCGGTTTTCACATCCCTGCGCTAATTTTTTATGAAACTAAAGATGCTACATACAGATTTGTCCTAGCTCTCTTGGTTTCTTAAATACAGAGCGAAATTGAAAATGTTGCATTTTTCAACCCCCTTCGTATTTTGGTTATCTTATAACTTTAACTATATAATAGTTTATACATATAAAAATACGATTTGGGCATCTTTTAACCGGCCAGGACAAGATACTAAAAACATTAGACGATCAAATCTATTTTCCCAAGGCTACTTGATTAAAAATTAGCGTTTTAACACAGCCAAGGCACTCTAGATTGAAACTGAAAATACAATTTTTCTTAAACGAACATGTCAAAAGTTGCCATATCGCCTCCTCAAAACTACAACTAGATAACTCGAAAATTGGGCTGTTTGTAGTTAACTCTACCAACCTTTGTTATTTTGGATCTTTCTATTTGCAACAACTAGATAACTTAAAAGTGACGCCATCCCCTTTGTATTGGAAGTGTCAAACGTAGATATTTTCCAAATAAAGTTGCAGGATATTACAACAACTAGACAGCTCAAGTTGTCAAAACTACGATTTTAAAGCTATCTAGTTCTAGTTTTGAGGTAGCGATATGATGATTTATTCTATTCAGAGTGTCATTTTCTAACGAATAAATTAAAAAAATACCGAGAGTGTCATTTAAAAATCAAAAGTTGTAGTAATTTCCCATGGGCGCCGACAGGGGAGGCAAGAGGGGGCATTTGCCCCCCCCTCCCTGGATTACTGAAACAATAAAAATAAAAGCTGTCTTCTTACATCCATCTGTAAAAAAATAATTATTATTATAAAATTGTTAGGTGTTACCTTAAAATAATACAAAATGTGGTAATTATTGGGAAAATTGGAAATCGTCCGATTTTCACCAAATTTGGTATACACACTATTTTGAGGTCGTAGATTACGAATCTACTTTTTTCTTGGCTTTTCAGAAAAACGGAAAATTATTTCAACATTGAATTTTTCTTTATTTCGGCCCTATAAAGTAATAATTTCACTATATTTTCATTATATTATAGTTTATCTAAAAGCCACACTTGATTGGGGATAAAAAGTGTCCAACATTTTACTGAAAAACACTTTTCTTAACAAAATAGCAAAGAAAATTGAGATGGAAGTTTGGCATTTGATATATCCTTCTTTCTCTCTCCTATGTAATAAGAGAGACAAATATATTCTAGACCTAATCTAGAAATTTGAAAATTTACAACGTTGCCATATCTTCTATTTTTTCGGGTGATTAGGGATTTTAAATAAATTACCTATTATGAGATCGACAATAATTAAATATACACCTATATCGACAAAATTACGCGGAAGAGTTTTGATTGCATTGGTTTTAACTTTTTTGTGGAGAGGGTTAATCTTTTTTTAGTTAATCTAATAATATAACAACAAAAGATTAACACCCTCTGCATGGAAGTTGTAACCAATGCAATCAAAACTCTTTCGTGCAATTTCGTGGGTATAAATAGTCAGATCTCGTTGGTAAAATAGCAGTTATGGGAAGGACTGCTTCTGGCGACCGCCTTTCGTAATTCCAGAATGAGCGAAAAAAATACGCTAAATTTAGGTTTAGCATTGGCAACGTTGCTTTAAATGCCAGAAACACATAAGCTTACTTCGGGTTTCTCTTATTACCGATTCTGAACCGTCCTAGAACTGTGATGCGTATGCTCAGAAGGAAATATGAAGACATTATTTCATCTGCGCATGCGCTGCAGAGTTCTTGGACGGTTCAGAATCGGTAATAACAAGAACCCGAACAAAGCTATAACCTAACATTTTCAGATTGTTTACAAATTTATTTTAGCAAATTTTCCTCTATTATGCATAGAATTGGTTAAAAAAGTAACAGAAAATAGCAAAAACATTATTGATTATTGAATACCTAACAAAATATATGCTAGAAAACCTTAAAAATATGAGAAATTAAGAAAAATTCGATATTGAAATTATTTTCCGTTTTTCTGAAAAACGGTAAGAGACCACCAAGAAAAAAGTTCAGATTCGTAATCTACGACTTCAAAATAGGGTGTATACCAATTTTGGTGAAAATCGGACGATTTCCAGTTTTCCCAATAATTACCAAAAATGTCAATTTTTTATTCATTTTTACCTTGCCCCCCCCCCTAAATTTCATTCTTCCGGCGCCCATGTAATTTCCGGTGAAACAGGAAGTAACCGAAAACAATAGAATACGTCTGAAAAAATAAAAAAGTTATAGGGGTGAGCCACTTTTGAAACGCATCAGGTATACGGCGTTTAAAATAGGTGATCCAAACAATCGAATATTCGATCATTCGAATTCGATCATCAAAAATGTAAATGAGAAAAATAAAGCACTTTTTTATATCTTTTTAACAGCTGCTGAGTGTTTGGACGGTGACCAGCCCAACAAACGACCAAGGACGACCATCACAGCCAAACAACTGGAAACACTGAAAACGGCGTATAACAACAGTCCGAAACCAGCAAGGCACGTCAGGGAACAATTGAGCCAAGACACGGGATTGGATATGAGGGTAGTCCAAGTTTGGTTTCAGAACAGGTACATAATATGCCTTAAGTACTAATTTAATGGTAAATCTAAATAATATTTGAAATAACCTGGTAGTAAAAAAGTAACTCAATAATTATGACTTTGTATACAGGAATCCCTTGTTTTATGCGGGAACTGGTGTCAAAATTTCGTTTGCATTTTTGCTACCAGTTCTGGGGTCGATACATACCACCCGTAAAAATATTTGCATTTATTTTTAAAGAATTTTTTTTTAAAGAATTAAGAATATTGACTCTTCCTTCCTTATTTATATTTGAATCCGTTTGCCTAATACGTAAACATGTATCAGCTTCTCAAGAAAGGCCATCTCACACTTATCCACTCAGGAACGCGGAGCAAGATCTTTATCTACCTACCCCCCGCTCAGAGTTAGTTAAAAGTTCAATATTATACAACTCGAAAAAAATGCACAATCACCTGCCATTTGAAATCAAATCCATAACATCATTTTATTCATTTCGCAAAGCATTGAACTCTTATTTACTAGACAAGGCTTTCTACGCCGTAAATGAATTATATTTGAATTGAAAATCGAATTTGATCTTGAAAACACTGGTCTAATGTTTGCTATTGCTATATTTACTAATGAGATAGAAATTAATTTATTTAGAGGTCATTGATATTTTGCTATAAACTGGCTAAATATTTTTGAATATTATTTTAATTTTTTTGTTCTTTGACATTGTAAACATTTATAAATGTTTATTTTAACAATAAGACTGACAATATTATTTATATAATGTTTTGTATTATCTTTTGTTTGTTTGTTTGTGTACCTTGTTTTTTTTCTACTTTGTTTGTTAGTTTACCTTTGTCTACAAATTGAAAAAATTTTTGACAATAAAGGCATTTATTTATTTATTTATTTATTTAAGACTCAGCCTGTATAGTTTATGTATCTAAAGTTCGTTTCACTATACACTGTTTAAATTTACACTGTGTTTAAGAAACGTAACCCCCGCGTAAAACGAGGTACACTTGTATACTCAACATCAAATCTTATTGTTTCGTGTAGAGGCATATCTTTAGTTTCTAAGAGTAGGTACATAGGTATAGTTTGTTGTATTTAATTTTGTGTTTCTTTAATAGAAATTATTGGTAATACGGTTTACAGGAGAGCGAAAGAAAAAAGACTAAAGAAAGACGCAGGCAGGACGAGATGGAGCCAGTACTTCAGATCGATGAAGGGTGGATCGTCGCCCAGACATGACAAACTCTTGGATAAAGACGACATGAAAGTGGATTTGGATAGTTTCAGCCACCACGGTATATTCTATAAACTTTTTTGTTTGCTATTTATCAAAATTATATGTTTTTTTTAATTGTTGAACACAGATTTGAGTGATGATAGTTATGGTACTGTGGTGAATATGTCCATGGATCAAGATGGTTCGTCTCCTCACAGCGGTATTGGAAGACCTATGTTCCTTCATGGAGCTACATCTCCGTCATACTTACCAGGTCATACGCCGCCCCATGGGCCAGAGCACATGGGATATCCTGATCAGCTAGCGGTTTATTCTAGTTTAGGTATATAATTTAATTTTATCAATTTATTAGATTATTTGTATTATTATATTTAAAATCGGTCAAACAAGTGAGGTAATATTTCGACAGACGACATACAAAAATACCATATACGTGTGAATTAAAATGACAGAAACATCTGTCACTGTTATAAATCTTCTCTAATAATCTTTGAATTACCGAATTTGTTTAAATAAGCTATTACCATCTCTTATTTTTTAGCTGGCCAAGGTCCTCCTCCCGGCCTGATGCACGGCATGCCCCCGGGAGCCCCCGATTCCGAGATCAGCAACGACAGCAGTCCCAGGGGATACCCCGATTTCCCTCCCAGTCCCGATTCCTGGCTGGGGGAACCGTCCAGCGCTCATTACTGACCCCCCTACAAGCTGCCCCCGCCAGCTACATCGACGACGTTTTTCCAAAAGCTCGAAGATTCCGTAAGGACTAATTTGAAACTTGTCGGAACTTATAGGAACGGTGCGTTGTTGTGAGGAGAAGAGAATGTTAGGTGGAAAGTTGAAGGAACGCTCCAGTTAAGTCGAATTAATGAAGATTTTGACGTTTAAATTGCGCAAATGTTGTATGTAGAACTCATCAGTAGCGGTCATATTGCCCACTTTGTTGCACACCGTTGCCCACTTTTACATATTTTGTTTTAATCAAAATATTTTAGGAAACAAAAATAAATTAATTATAAATATACAGGGTGGTCCGAACTGTATTCCGGAAACTAGGGCAGCATATTCTGCAAATAAAAATAAGTAAAAAAGATCGTATAAATGTATGTCCTAAAATGCTTAGTTTCCTAGATACAGGGTGTAAAAGCTTCATTTTTATTTCGATTTTTTCCAAATAATTTCTGAAGTAACGTCAATATTTGCATGAAAATGGTGTCTGAGAGTTTTTTAACATGAGAAATTTGATTTTGATATCAATATAACTCCTACTTGTAGAGGGCGTCCGCTACATATTTTTTAACTGGTTTGAAGAGAAACAACTTTTCGCCCGTATCTGTATAGCACTACTGCACTACAATTTATCAATATAGTCTGTGAAACGAATAACTTTGAATTTGACAGTTCCCGCGGGCTTTTCTAGTGTTAATTTTATTAGGTTAGCAACTTGCGGCCATGCTGACGCAATGCCGTCTCTAGTAGAACAGCCTCGGAGCGAGATTTATGACGTCACGCTAACATAATTATTCCTTATATTTGACTATGGCTGAAATCGTACTCCATAGTCAATGTAGATAGTTTTAGTGTTAAGAATAATAATTTTAAAAAATATGTGGTCATCTTTTGACAAGTTTATATTAGTTTATTAATTGCAGTAAACATTATGTGGTTTGTGGTGTGAATATTTTATATGCAATTTTTTGGATTATATTCGACACTATTTTTTTATATGACACAACACTGATGAAGGCTATAATGTTAGCCGAAACGTTTTTTTAAACCAAAAAAATAATGAAAAACCAAATGAAAACTTAATCAGCGTTTTTCCCGAACCTAAATCCCAAGAAAATCAAAAATTTTATAGAATAATTTTACATTATAAAATTACAGCGATCTTTATTTCATAGCCATCGCTGACACATTTTTTTCTATGATATTGTATTATTTGCAAAAATAATTTTTCGAACATTGATACTTGCAAAATATATGTACATATAAATTTTGTGAATGCAAATAATAATACACCACTATAGTATATATTGAATGTTTTTTGTTAAATTAGATCGATTTTCAAACCCCAAAATTTAAAATATATTTTACAACCCATTATCTTATGTACCTATTCATTATTTGTATATTGTAAAACATTTGCTGCATTTGTATGGTTCATAGTTTATTTGCCAAAGTATTTATTACTATAAATAGGTATATATTATATTTATTAACTGTATATTTCATGTAAACTATATCATTTTTAAAATACAAACCAAAAATACGAGGAATAATTATGTTTTCCATGTATTCTGCAACATATTTATTAATCCGTATCTAATTAGCGTGACGTCATAAATCTCGCTCAGAGGCTGTTCTATTAGAGACGGCATTGGTCTGATATTTAGAAATGTCAAAAGCTGATGACATTTTACTTTTGACAACATTTTACTTTGACATTATCATTGACATAAATAGATGATATGTTGACTAAATAGTTATTAGACTGAAATCACAAATTTGAAATGTTTTTGTGCTAAAAGTTCAACAGAAACTGTTTTATCATCATTTTTTCAAAGAAAAATTTGTGATTAATTTAAAAAAATAAAAAGTTCCCAAATTTATCATTTCAGTCAAATAACTGTCTACTCAACACGTTTATTTTTTGTCAATAATGACATGTATTGACTATTTCCTTTCTAAATATCTCGAGAACGATTGCTCGAACGAGAGCGATTTTTACCAAAAGACATTTTTTACGTAAAAAATCACGGAAATATTGTTTCACTCATAAAACGTTAACTTTATAACTCACATTTTATACAGGTAGGAACAAAAAGTTATTACTCAACAAAATAGGTAAAACACATGTAGGTGGCACCCCCTAAAAATATGAGTCATATTGACATCAAATCAAATTTCTCATGTCAAAAAACTCCCAGACATCAATTTTCATCCAAATGTTAAGTTACTAAAAGTTACTTCAGAAATTATTTGGAAAAAATAGAAATAAAAATGAAACTTCTACACCGTGTATCTCTCCGAAACTAAGCATTTTAGGACATGCATTTATACAAACTCTTTTACTTATTTTTATCTGCAGAATATGTTGCCCAAGTTTCCGGAATACAGTTCGGACAACCCTGTATAAACAATTATTATTTACATCAACAAAACTCACCTTCGTAACAGCACTTAAGGGACATAAAGAGCTATTACTATATCTTACTTCCCATATAACACACAATATCCGCAGGATATTCATAAAATGTCGGAATGTCCCATTATAAGATCATCTTATAAATACATCTATAGGATATCCTCCAGACATCCCGAAATCCTGTAGATGTCTCAGAATAGAATATCCTATGGATATCTCTGTCGCATATCTAATGTACATCCAGCTGAGATATCCAAACATGCTCATGATAATAAAATATCCTAACAATATCGTCTAGATATTTAGGAAAAATAAATAATGTACTACTTTTTATATTACATAAAATGCAATAAACCATATAGATAGATATATATTACGTCGAGGCAACAAAATATCCTGTTGGTATCTTCTGGATAACCAGATATTTATGAGCTTAGCCACTCCCAGTAATACAGAGAATTTAAAACGCCCGCGCAAAAAATATCCCACAATCCATCTCGACAGTTGTTTTTATTTTTGCATCGTGTATTATTCAGTTCTTTGATTTAGTGAAATTCGAAGTGAATTCGGTCGTTTGTCGATATTGGATGGGCTTAAAAATGACTGAAACTAACAAAACTGGTTGAGTTTGACTTAGTTTTTTCTTATACTCATAGTTCTCGCCTTGTTCTAGCAGAAATTCTATCCTAACCTCAACTAATGTCGAAAAACGACGAACGACTCAGGGTCTCACAATGAAAAATTTGTGACAAAATTATAGGTGAAAATTTGTTGAAAAGCGCTTGTTCTTTATCCCTAAACCCATTTACGTGTTTGATCTATTCAAACAGAAATCCTATTTTTGTGTTTAAATTGTGAGTTTCTGGAATGTGTGGTGTTAGAAATTATACCTGTATTCTGTGTGCTAATTATGATGTAAACTGTTGCTGCTAGAAATAAACTGCTAGACTCCATAAAGGGTAGTATAATCTGGTATAATACCATACCATCGAAAAAAACGGCGTCAGAGGTGGCTTGGAAATGAAGATTGCTGTTATTTTGTATGTAAAATTATATGGTCGTTTTTTCGTCGTTTTTTTTTCGATGGTACAGTATAAATTGAAAGATCTTAACTCATACAAATAGACTTCTAAATTTTGACGCAAAATTCATTGAAATAATATGTAGGTATATTTTAGAGCTGTTAATAAAAATATCCAATGAATAACGTCAAAATGTGGCTAGATAAAACTAAATCGCGAGCGTTTTTACTATAAACTAAGGATGAAGTAAGTATTGTCAAATAACATTCCTCATATAATGTCCAAAAAATATTCTATAATGCTCCCAACATCATCCTTGTATTATCCTATAAATATCCCAAATAATCGTAAAAGGCTTGCCTAGGGATGTCTTGAAGATGACTTTTTTTGTCCCATCTGGATATCCCATAAATACCCTCCTCTGGTTTTTGGATATTCCTAAGATATTTACTATATCCTTGGTGGATATCCTCAAGATATCTATAGGATTGTGTTGTGTTATATGGGTTATCTTACTATATCTTACTTACTTATATCTCTACGTTCAAAATATTCTAATAAGGTTGCGATGAGTTAGCACTAAAAGAGGTTCTAAAAAGAACATGTTGTTCGACTGCTATTAAAAATGTTTAAGCTAAACTCGTAAAACTCGTAATACAAAACTAAAGTGTCAAAACAAATGACAATGTCAGGAAATAAATAAATAGATGTGGCAACTTGACATTTTTTTCCACTACCACCTGTATCCCCAGCGTGAAATTTGAATTCCAGTTAGTCAACCAGGTGCCGAAAATGTCCATAGTTGGCAACAATGGATTTAAAAATCGCGCCATCGATGACGTAACTAAAAGTTTAATTGGTATCGAATATAAATTCATGGTATCCAGAAGTTACTTATGGCTTATATGACCGCCACTGATTAAATTTCAACTTTTATTTTATATAATCTAGTCTCAATTCTGTGATTCTGTCAGTTTGATACAAATATTTCAAACATTAGACTTTAGAAGTACCCCACTCACATTTTCACTACACTTAAGATTAAAACCACAATGTACATGCAACTGGTATGGTCTAAAGCAAGTTAAGACATCACGTGATGTATTATAAATTGCCTATTTTTCCAATGAAACTTAACACCAAACAACTTACACTACGATAAAATTATCATAAGGCTATATTATGTAGCATTTACTTTGATTCTCTATATACAGGGTGTTTCAAAAAAACATGTGTCATCTCTCGTGGGCAGATTCCTCACGTAAAAATAAGATTCTGCTTTGTTTCGTAGCTACAGGATATTAAAGTCATCTCAAGTCTAAAAGTTGTCTCTTGATATTTTGTCCATTTTGGCTTCCTTGACGAGATAAACGCAATTCTATTAATTTGCCTTGATCCATGATCTAATTTGCAAAGATCCAACCCAACCATTAAAAAATGTTAATATCATTAACGTTTTAAATAAGTACTCTTTGATTCTTCATCAAAAAATATGAGAAAAACTTTCTATAGGGTATGGAAATGCATAGTTTTAGAGTTACAGGATGTAACTCTTAAGTATCAATAGATAACTTTTAATTTACATTAAACGGTTTACGCAATTTTGATATGAAAAGAAAAAAAAAACAGTGGCGCACTTGTTTTTTTTTAAATATCCCAGTGATAACCCATATGCGCGTCCCTGATGCATTTATTAATACTTTTTTAGCATTAAAATATGTAACACTTATAGTAACTTGTACCCTCAAAATTCCATTCAAATCACTAAAAGAAAATTATAATAAATCGAAAGATTATTGAGACTTCAACACCCTGTAGCTACGAAACAAAGCAGAATCAGACCTATGTTGATATGAAAAATAAGTCTTATTTTTACGTGAGGAATCTCCTCACAAGAGATGGCACATGTTTTTTGAAACACCCTGTATAAGTTTTACAAGTAGTCGCAGCAAAAATTAAATTATAAAAATGAAATTATTGAATATTTAAAAAAGAAGAAGAAAATAGTTAGTCTTTAACGTGACATGATGGCGTCAAATGGGCTCAATTTTGTATTGTGTTTAGCATACCTTTTGTATGTGGATTGTGATTAATACATGTACCTATGGGAAATAGCTTAATACAACTTATTAAAAAAAACTTTAACAAAATACTTATATTATGATCAGATGTCTCAAATAATGACTGCATTTAGCGAACACATGAAATCAAAAATCGGTTTTGTTATTATTAATCTTACAATACGCAAAACTTTAAATTAAACAACATTTTTACAAATGATAAAAGAATAACTATTGTGTCTTTTTTAGTACTTGTGTTAGCTACATCACTTAACAGTTATTTTTGCTAATAACAATTACAGATCATTTAAGCCTTACCTACGTACCAAAGACTTCATAAACTATACTTACAATGTGATTTTATTTTCTCGTATCTTTATTAATTTATTATATTTTGAATTATATGTATATATGTATGTCTAGTGCACAAGTCAGTCAATATAAATACTCATTTGTGTGTAAAAATTTACCTAAAATGTAAATATATATTTTTTGAAATATTGTCAACAAACGTACATAATATGTATAGTCTGTTCAGTACCTACCATAATATAACTTTTAAATTAAAACGAAATTAAAGTACAAATATTTCTTTTTTTTTGTTTTCAATTGTCTTATTCTTAAATTTTTGGTTTAATGATGTTCAGGCAGAAAACTATTTGACCTTTACAGCGAATTATCTATTAACGGAATTCAATAATATATTTTTCTATAGTTCTATAGGTGTCGTCTATTCAAGTTATATATTATATATACACGATAGAGATACATAATCTGTCACCAAAGGTAATATATTAGAGTGACAGCTAATTCTGTCATTTTAATTCAAAAGTAGATCATTCATAAGTCAAAATTATAAATTCTCTTGATGGACAGACTATACATTAGATGAATGTCAATTTTTACCTGATTTTCAAACATATACATATTTTGAGTTAAAGTAGATAAATTACAGTTTGATTTTAACAACAATAATTATCACAGTAAATTTTTATAATCTTGTAAAAATGTAGAAAAGAATATCTCGGGTCGAGTGAGTATAAAGATAAGGTAAAAGAAAACATTGTACAGTATAACAAATTAGTATTATATTAATCTAGTCAGGAAAACAGGTAAAATTTTAAAATTTGTATCATAGGTGTACCGTTATACATTCTAGTCGTCTATTATTTATTTACAACTTATTGTTTATTTATTGAAATAAATTAATTTATTGAAATATTTTTAATTGTTGTATCATTTTTCACAAAATCAATTACCTATTAAAGAACAACACAATAAAATGAGTTGACTGAAAGCTATTTGTACGTTAAACTCTCTTTTCTTAAAACGTGTATTGATCGAAAGAAAAACGGCGTCAAAGATGGTTGGAAAATGACAATCGATGATAATTTTGGTGAGGTCAATCTCTTGACATAAAACTTGTCTAAAACTAACACTAATTATATAAAGATTAAAAAAAAATTCTCTAATTTTAAACACCATTTAACAAACTTTTTATTAATATAAAAATAAATTTACTAATTAAGAAAGAACCGTTAAGAAATAAAGAAGGATACTGACCAAGAAATGACGTTTAGGGCTTGACCTCGCCAGAATTATCATCGATTTTCATTCCCCAGCCATTTTTGACGCCGTTTTTTTTTTCATTCCTATGGTAGTTATATATAATACAGCTTTTTAAATATAACTTAAAAGTTCTACTAATTCCTACCATTTTGACTACCAGTTTCAAACAAATAAAAGCTCTAATTAAATGAGTTTCATTTTCTGTGAAAATATAAACAATTAGTTCAGAAAAAAAGTTTGGTAAAGTATCATCCAACATTGTACATTTTTTATATTACTGTACAATTTCAATACAAAAAACTATTACTATAACTTAGTGTACTATTAGATACTATAACTCTGTGGTTGCTACTCCCCAATATTGCTGCATCCTATCCAGATCCATAGAATCAACTAGGCCCCTTTCGTGCATCAGAGCAAAATCGTACTCCAAATTGTAAGGCATCAACCGTTGCAAACTGCCGAAATAGGCTGCGTTTGGACCACCCATCAACTGCTTTCTGTTGTCCAAAGCCAAGCGACTGTTCGATTTTGCCAGGGCTGGATTAAACGAACGTGAGCTGCCGAACTGTTTTGACAGGAAATGACCTGAAATGGTGAGAACGAGTCTCTCGGGTTATTGAGTTATAGAGCATGCTTTAGTAACAACAAAACATATGTATCATCAGCAAACGTTACCTATATGAATTATTTAAAATCAGTTTTATAGCGAATAAGTTTTAGGTAACATATTAGCTATTTTTTGGCATTAAACACATCCCAGCACCTTCTAAGTAAATAAATAAACATACAAGGGTGGTTTGAAAAGTTTCCACCCAGCTAGCGTATACAACAACAAAATCTGCTGAAATTGTTTGCGCATCATTTGAAAGGCACTCTTAATGGTTTAGTTATTTCCTATGTCAGTTTGCGTTTGACAACCACTTGAGTGAGTGAAAATGCTAATCATCAAAAATCGCTTTTGAAACGTAAAATACCTAAGCAAATCAAAGAGAAGTTGGACGATATTTTCGAGTATCCATCGCCATCATTTACACCGTGAAATGGACACATTTAGATAGCTAAACTTGAAAGCAGCAGTACCGGATTGGATATTGAAGAACTTTTGGGGCAAAAACTCATCTAATACCTATGGTAATTTGACCTGATTTGACTCTCGATACACTTAGACAACAGTTCAATTAAAGTAAGAAAAATAGCAGAGACCATTATTGCACTGGCAGCTGTTTTTTATCTGTCTTACAAATTCAATAACAAATCAAACCGCCCGAATAGTATGGGCTGCCTTTGTCACAAAAAAAATGTTTCGACTGCAACTTCCTGGTTGGAGAATAAATAGATATCGTCGGTAACTAAATCTGGCAAAACTGTAGTATTATTTAGTAGTGGTATTTATTTTCTCAATAAAATAGTTTTTTGTTTGTTTGAAACATTAACCGTTTTATAATGTTTTTATAAAAACATTTTTACATAAACATAAATTACAACACTCTTAAGGCCGACTAGCAATCTTAGATCTTATAAATAGCAATAAGCGCCATTAAAAAATAAAGGAGAGTATGGGCCAAGTAATGACATGTAGGGCATGACCTCGCCAAAATTATCATCGATTGTCATTTCCCAGCCGTTTTGACGCGGTTTTTTTCAATCATATGGCAGTTGTTAATCACATACTGGTTATAATTTTATAAAATACTAACCTGTAGGTGGGTTGTTGTTATTATCCGATATAGTTGAAAGATGAGGATTGCTTCTACTTAAACTTGGCGTCTTTATGCTAAAAGGTGACTTGCTTCTTTTACCTTTATTTAAATTATTCAATTCCTACATATTATTAACAAAATTAATTAGAAGATTTTTGGTACTTCCATAAGCAAATAATCCTCAACAAACCTTATCGAAAATCATTTGTGTATTCTGCTCTAGCATATATTCCCAACATTTGAACTGTTCTTCCGATAGAGCTGAATCAGAATCGACTTCTTTATTTCTTTCTTCTTCTCTACGTTGTTTTAAAGCTTTTGCTACTCCTCTATAACTGCGTCTTTCTGGACTGGCTTTTACCTACCAAACCAAACCATAATTACCAAGAAATATTTACTATTATTACTATCAAGAAATAACTCAACTATCCCAATTATTTTTGAGGCAATGATTAAGTAGCAAAATGGAAAGAATAAAACCATAAATTAAAACTATCGATCATGATAACATATGATTAGCAAAATGCTAGTATAATGTTAAAAGAAAAGTGTTTTAGTGTATTGTAGTAAGTTAGTGTTTTATTTTGAAGTTGCCAACACTGAAAATTCCAACCCCAACAGTATTCTATAATTAATTAACTCTAAATGAAATTCATGTTTGATTGGTTTACTACTTGTAAGTTTAATAATATTTTTTATCGAGTTAGGAAGTTTCACTGTACTTTACCTCAACTGTATCAAATATACTGGGCGTCACACTTCTGAATATCCTGTTTTCTGGTTGCTTGGTGAGTTGACTTATGAACATTTTTGAAGACGAGTTACAATCGCTACAACAATGCTCGCTTTGACCACTGGGTGACGATCTAAGAAACCTTCTAAATTTGATCGGAAAATTATAATTGTATTATGTTTATTACCTATCGTCACCCATCATCATAGGCGGAGGTATAGGGATTTTCTCTAGACAGTTAATGCATTCGTTGTTTAATGTTTCACAGCAGCATCCCGGCTGGCAGACGGAGTTAGTACTGTCACTGCGATATTTGTTCTTTCTAATGGTTTGTCTTAGTTCCCTCATTAATAGGTCTACATCTGAGCCTATCAGATTGAATTTAACTACGATTATGCTTAAGTTTTCTTCAGCACCTATTGAAAAATATATAATAAAATATAAAAAATTATCTTAAATAATTAGGATGTCCCAGGCTGAAGCGTGCATTAGAAGTTTCTAGAGAACTACAATATCTAGACCGGAGATTTTTTGCACATCATTGTTTCACAATGAGATTTATCGATTAAAAATATTTCCAATATGGCGACACTTCCAAAAATACCGGAAGTTGACAGCAACTTTCTTATTTTAAATAGGTACCCCCATTCTTTATTATATATTTAAATTATCTATAAAATTTTATGAATTTTTATACCAAACACTTTATATCTAACACTAGCGTGTACCCGCGACTTCATTCGCGTCAAATTAATCATTTGTATAGTATTATTTATTTATTCGTGTCAGAAGCATCATCAAGATTACATTTCATATACATATAATATCACATACAACAACAATAACAACAATAATTACATATAATAATAATAATAATAATATGTAAAATTGCAAACACAAAAGTTATACATGAAACCACAGTACATTAAAACATAGATATAAAACAAACATAGCATGTATAAACATCATTTGAGACGGGAAACTAAACATGTTTTGCCCAGAAGCGGGCGACGTCAATTGCGTTGACTTTGCTGCCATAATAAGTGGGCAAGTATACATATGTTGGGTGGTTTGTAGTACTCCACATTCGTAGAGGTTGGAGTATATTTTTATTTTTATTTATTTGTATAGTGATGATAAAACAAAGCAAGAATTTCCATTAACATACAAACTGGATAAAATTTTCTCACATTTATGTCAGCTTGAGAAAAAACAACAGGGCGATATTTTTATATAACTTGGTAATACTTGAGGGATAGTTTCATCTCGTTGGAATTTGACTTTCGAAAAATCCGTTTGCCAAAAATAAGCTTTTTACGTCAAGCAGTTTAAGCAGAATCATGGTTAATCAGTTACCCAACTTTTTGGAACACCTTGTATGATTTTTAGAAAATTTCAAAATATGTAAAAAACAACTTACATTATGCGTGTCCAAGCGTTTTCCCGAAAGACTAACCGTTTTTTAAATATCAAATATTGTAATATTTGAGGGGCGTTTTCACCCTCTTGGAATTTGAGATTCGAGAAACCCCTCCTTATCGAACCTCTACACCCCACAGTCAATCCGTTTGCCAAAAGTCAGTTTTAAAGGCCAAGCAGTTTAAGCAGAATCGTGATTACTCAATCATCATATTTTATGACACCCTGTATAAATTTTTAAAAAATCTTAAAATATGTAAAACAACATAATAAAATATACGTTTAAGAGTTTTTCCGAAAAACTCACCGGTTTTTAAATAAAAAGTATTCTAATATTTGCGGGGTGGTTTCGCCCCCTTAGAATTCGAGTTTCGAAAAATCCCTTCTTATCGAACCTCTACACCCTAAAGTCAATCCGTTTTCCAAAATGAATGAGTGAAATAAAAAAAGTGGGTTTCCATTTGAAAAAATGATTTATAATAATGTTTTAATCTCTCGATTCCATATGACAGCTACTGCCAATATTATATAACATTCAAAGAATTTAATTTTTTAAATAGATAGCCACATATTTTCTCTTCATATCACAGTGGCTGTGATCATCACTAATCTAATTTAAATTGAAGTTTAGGCTATACAACTTTTCTTGACAGGCAGTTTTTTTCCTCCAAAAGTTTTAAATAATTTTTTCTCAAAAACAGTTGATGTTTAGATATAGAGTGTTTAATATCAAAATTCGTATAATTTTATAGAGAATTTAAGTATGTAATAAAAAATGGGGGTACCCATTTAAAATAAAAAAGTTGCTGTCAACTTCCATCATATTGAAACTATTTTTAATTGACAGATCTCATTGTAAAACAACAATATGCAAAAAATCTCCGATCTAGATCTTATAGTTCTCTGGAAACTTCTACTGCACGCTCAGCCTGGGACACCCTGTATATAATAATAGTATGAGCGCAGAAAATTACAAAATAGCACAAACAGGTTACCATAACTTTGCGCGAGATCCTGCAACCTCTTCGCTGCCAAAATAACGTTCCTTTGCAAACTGACTTCTCTTATGGCATTTTCGGGTGTTATAACATCCCACAAATTCTTGTTCGCTATGATCATGTATTCGTCTTGTTCATCCAAGTAGATCTCCGTTACGTCGGGGTCAGGTACCTGCATCCAGTCATTCGTAACACGGAAATTACTAAATGCACTAAATTCGCTATATTTTACTTACCGTTAGTTGCAACGTGGGGTTGGTTCTGATCTGTTTCCTCATTTTCACGGGCAGTAATCTTACCGGTCCCGAAGATTTTCCTAAAACTATTCTAATGTCTCCTATGGAAGCGATTTTCATGACGTATTTCTTGAAGTTGTCGGAGAAACCGTTGAAGTCTTCGCTGCTAGGTTTGGCTTTGAGAACGTGGACTATTATGGCGTTTAAACCTGAAATGAATCAATAATAAAGTTACGCCAAAGTGCATCAAAATACAGCTTAAATTATATACAGGTTGTAAAAAAATAGTGTACCATAGAATACAGGGTTCGGCAAAAGTGCGTCGAGCATCTGTAGCTCCTAGAATAAAAAACTGGGAAATGTTGTTTAAGTGCAAACCTAAAGTATGTACTAGGATGTATTTCAGGAAAATATTTTAACTTCTACAAGGTGGTACAAAAAAGTGTCAGTGGATCGGGATGATTTTTTTTAAATGGAACACCCTGTATATTATTGCATTTTTGGCTTCTTTTGAGATCACTTTACAGAGTCCTAAGATATGAGTAAATATATTTCTATAATTTCAGAGATATTAATAAATAAATAAGAAATATATATTTCCAAACCAAACCAAACCCTGTAGAAGTTAAACTTTTTTTCCTTAAATACACCCTAGTACATACTTTAGGTTTGCACTTAAAGAAAATTTCCAAGTTTTTTATTCTAGGAGCTACATATGCCCGACAATTTCACTATTGCCGGACCCTGTATTTTGGAAATTTGACAAAAAAAGGATTAACCATTTTAGGGCAATAAAAGTTTTTACAAAGAATGCCTTTTACTGAAAATGTCAACAATAAAAAAGTTTTTCTTCTGGGAAAGACGCTCTGCACATTAATCCTTACCTTGTTTTAATCCTTTTGATTTTAAATTTCGATATGTCGACAGCATAGTATACTTCATATAATCGTGCGCTGTTTCCTTTACAGTCCTTTCTTCCAAAAGTATCCTAGGTAAAACTTTATCTACCCCTACAGGATTGTCATTATTATTTTCACCTAAAATTGCCACACACACTCAATAAATAAAAAATAATTAAAAATATAAAACGTCTTACCATCGAATAGTCCAAACAATGCTTCGGTATTACAAAAAGCAGGTAACCTGATTTGAGTAATGTGCAGTTTGGATTTTGTTCCGGATGTTTCCGAAAAACCAACCGACCAACTGTAATCAGTCAAATCACTCTCACAAAACGGTGCTGGAGACAGAGGTAAACTAGTCCTATTTTTACCACTAACATCTACCAAGGACATAGGTCTTTGGGTTCTAAGAAAACAAACTTACGAAAATTATTTTCCCCTAATAGTCAAATTATTATTATTATTACTGTTTTACCTGTAGGTATTAAACTGATGGCAATCAACGTACAGCTTGGTGTTGCAAGAAAGATCCAAAAATTTTAAATTGGGAGGTATTAATGACGTCAAATCAACTCTGTCAAGCTGATTGTGAGCCAGATCTAATACTCTCAACTTCAATAACTTAGATAGTTTCGGAATGCTTTGCAAAAGATTTGAATGTACCCGAAGTACTGTTAAATGCTTCAGCTGGTCGATATGCTGGGGTATTTGTAATATTTTATTTCCTGATACGACTAGTTCTTCTAATTCTGTCCAGTAATTTGGACAAGCTTCTGGTAACGAGGTTAGATTGTTATAAGCTGCAAGTTTTTAATAGTTATTTATATATCAAGTAGATTATAAGGGTGTCAATTGACGAGGGCAAAGTTTCTGTCCCGAGGGACAATCATTGCCCGATTTATTCAAAACGAATTAGGGATCACATTATATGTGTATCTGTATTTACTATAATTTATAGACCAATCTCCGTATATTTATAGCAACATATCACCAGAATATTTTCATGTATAAAAATTGATACAAAAACAAAATTATTTCCCGTCATAAAAAAATAACAATAAAGAGGAACTCCAAAACGCATAAATGTCATAAAGTAAGTTTCTTATTTAGTGCGATATTGCCTTCCTGATCGTCAAAATTGATGTTAAATATGGCAAAATTTAATGTTTTGAGAAGACCAAACGGTGTTAGAAGGCGTTTAAATAATGCAGAAGTCATCAGAGCCACAACTTTATTGCAGGAGGATCGGTCGCAACGATACGTGTCGCAGCTTTTTCATGTTACACAATCGGTCATTTCCAGACTATGGAATCCACACAGAGAATATGGTTTTGTGGTCCGCAGACCATATCCTCAATGAGTAAGGCGGACAATGAGGCGGGAAGATCGGTATCTTATTCAAAGCACTCTTCCTGAAAGAACACTTACCGCAAGAAACTTCAAAATCTTCTTACGATCGCCAGAGGAACTCGAATTTCTATACTCAAACTATAAGAAATAGGCTGCATGAAGTTAACATTGGCTCAAGGCAAGCAGTTGTTGTGCCGCATTTAACTACTAATCATCGTAGGGCACGAAGGATATTTGCTGAAGAAGATCTTCACTGGTGCCTGGATCAGTGGAGGCACGTCTTTTTTACGCACGAGTCCCGTTTAGACGGCATAATTAATCCTGAACGATACAGAGATGAGATTCTTGAACCATATGTTATTCCATTTGCATGGTCCAGAATTCATCTTAAACCAGGATAATGCCAGGCCTCATACTGCAAGAATATGTACTCGATACCTTAAAGAGTCCAATATCAAAATTATGGACTGGCCTGCTAATAACCCTAATCTCAATCCTATTGAGGACCTTTGGGACCTACTAAGAGAAGACTACAAAGTCGTCCACACGTACCAGATCTTCAAACTTTGGGAGAAAATCTTCGAGAGGAGTGAAACGCCTTTCCTCAAGAGATTATTCGGATCCTCATTCAGTCTGTGACAAATCGGTGTGCAGAAGAGCGTAAAAACCGCAAAGGACGCACACATTATTATGAAAAAAAAGATTTCCGTTGACAATTACGGCATCTTAATTCCCGTTAATAATGTTCCAATGGAGTTATGACTCTTACTCTATTTATTGTTGACGATATAAACTTATATTAATTCAGTAAGAAATAAATTAATCGTTGAATTCTAACATAGTTTACTTACCAACATGAAGCGTCTTAATATTTCTCAAATATGGTGTCATCTTATCCAGAGATTTATCAATCAAACAATTAGCTGTCAGAAGCAACTTTTCCAAAACTAAAACATCCTCGGGCTTAGGCAAATCCACCAGCCTGTTATTCGACAAGTTCAAAACTTTAATAGTACTGACGAACTTAAAAAAGTTTTCCGGCAAACTTGACAAACTGTTGTTTTGCAAAAAGAGTTCTCTGATAGGCAATCGGCGCTGAATCATGGGCAAGCTTTGAAGCTGATTGTAGGCCAGCTGGACCGTTTGTAGAAATGGCATTTCGTTACAAAATAAATGATCTGGCAACGATGTAAGGGCGTTATTGCTTGCGAATAGTGACCGAAGCTCGCTGCAACCTGACAACCAATCGGGCAAGGATTCCAGGTCATTGTAGGAGATGTCAAAATGAGATAGGTGAAGAGGTGGTTGACTCGTAGTGAAGGACTTTAATCCTGAATTGAAAAATATCAGTTAATTCCTTTGATTATAATTAATATAGTGTTAGATCATATACAGAGTGGTCTGAATTGTATTCCGAATACGTCGGCAGCATATTCTGCAGATAAAAATAAGTAAAAAAGTTCGTATAAATGTACGTCCAAAAATGTTTAGTTTCGGAGATACAGGGTGTAGAAGTTTCATTTTTATTTCGATTTTTTCCAAATAATTTCTGATTAAAGTCAATATTTGGATGAAAATTGGTGTCTAGGAGTTTTTTGACATGAGAAATTTGATTTTGATGTCAATATGATTCCTACTTGTAGAGGGCGCCACCTACATATTTTTTAACTGATTTAAAAAGTAATAACTTTTCGTCCGTACCTGTATAAAACTACTGAGTAAAAAAATATACATTTGCGACGTCTTTCAGAAGACAGTTCGGACCACCCTGTATACTTCCTAGAAGAAGCCAAATCCTTGCTGAATTATTTTTGTATTTTTTCAATCATACTCATCTTTTTAAGTAAAATAAATTATTCAAAGAAAGGACAGTATCTTTAACTTTAGCTCTGTCTGGGAAGTATTTATGATTTAAAGTGATAACATACTGTTATTTCCTGCAATTACAGACACCAAATGCTTGCCATATAGAGTTAGCTGACTTAAATTGTTTCTAGAACACTGGAGCACCTGAAGATTCTCGACTGATCCTAAATCTAAAATCTCTATACTATTTTCGCTTATATCTAATTGTGTCAAACTCTAAAAAAATAGATATGATTTAAAATTAGTACTTATTTAAATTTTAGACAAATGCTTACGGTATAGTTGCCTAAAATAATATGTCCTTTAAGTCTATTTGCTCTCAAATTTAACGTTGTAAGACCGTTTGAGTTTTTGGAATTTGAATTTCGTCGATTCTCTGGATTTAGTTCGGATTCCTAGAAATGAAAAGAGAATAATAATATGAAGATAGTATCAAAGTCCACAAGATAATTCCTTTTTTACTGCAAACTAATTTGAAATCATATATATCTTTCGCCAAAAAGGTTACCTAGATTTAAGCAGATATCTATAAAAATCATTTTTAAATAAGTACTTAATTTTTATTTCAAATAATCAACGATGCATACAATTAATATTAGAATTATATTTGTTCATATGAATTATGAATATTGTAAAATCGAATTGAAAAATATTTAAACAAATTTAAAATTAGGTTGTGCATTTCCAAACATTTTTTTTTTCAACTTAATATTAAAATTAACTAAGAATAAATAAGAAATATTTGAATATAGGCAGTATTTTCTATTTATGACGTAAATTTGATATTCTTTGTTGAGTAACATATTAGGTATCCTTAAGACTAGAAAGAGAAAGTTAATAACAGTTAAATATACGTTTAATAAGTGGCAATTAAATAATGAAACACCTCAGAGTAATAAAGATAGAAAGATTTTTATCTTCTTAATAATCTTTGTCATTTCATCATATTATATTATTCATTTTGTGTATATGTGTTAATGTGTTATTGTAAAGTTAATTATATATTTTATTATTATCTTATCTTTCTTCATTCGTTTTGAAATGTAAGTATAACCACAAACTAGATATAACATTTAAAATGTTGTTTTATTGTGGTATTTCTTTTTTAATTTTATGTTAATTTTTATTTTATTACATTTTTGATAAATGTAATGTAAACATTTTGTGATTTGGAGAAATAAGTACACATAGATAGCACATTTTTCATTTAATTGACACAATATACCACATTTTTTAGTTTTAACCATTGGTTATTAATACAATAATTGCAAAATATAAACCAAAAAAATTGCTGGCTAAATCAACAAATATTTTAGGACTCTTCTAGATTTACTTATTTCTCTGAGTGTCTGATGCTTATCAAATGTGTTACTTAAAATAATAAGAAATAAAAAAATAAATTAATATAGATATTAGCCTTTCTACGTTATAATGTCTTACCGCTAATATAAGAGCTCTCATCTCTGGGTTCTCTTTAGATTTGTCAGGGGGTAAAGCCAAACGATTGGAAGCCACCCTTAAGGTTGTAAGAAATTTTAGGTCCCATAAGGTTGAGGGCAGAACGCTGAGAAGGTTCTGGTCAAGAATTAATTCTTTCAAGCTGAAACAAAAGAAAAATCGTAACTAGTTAATTTAATTGATTACAAATTATGTCAATTAATTAATTGACAACAAAAGATTTTTAGGATATGCCCTTTTATAAACCAAGCAATTTTTTTTACTTAAAATTGGCGCATAACCCGGGGCATAACCCTCTTTTTTCCACTCAGCTTCAAATTTAAAATGCTGCTCCATCGATGCATCGTATTGGGCTCACTATTATATTATTATGATTGCTTACTAACCGGAAATAACAATAACAACGAAATAATTCACCTCCATTAACATATATATTATACTACAGTACTATCTTTAACTGGGTTATTGAACCGTCTCACTTCGTAATTCAAACTAACAAAACCATATAATCCAGTAACAGATTTAAAGGATGTTCATATCTGAATAGATCTACGAGGGATATTTTTTAAGTAAAAACATATAGTATAGATATAACATATTAGTATTATAGTAGAATAAAATTTAATTTTTTTAGTGTTTTTTACAGCCAGAAATAGATAGATTTTATGAAATGAATCATAGACCTTTACCTTTAGCTCTATGACCTTTACAGATCTATTATGGTTCTCTTATTATCTTGAAATTATTATATTCTCCAGTCCAAATGTCTCCAGGAAAAAAAACAAGAGGCCGCTCGCCCTCCCAATAGATAGACCGGCTATCAAAGCTCACACATAAGGGTACACACACAAAGAAAGCAGGTTACACAGCGCTGAAAACCAGCGCCTACAAATAGGTCTTGTCGCTTACAAATAGGTCTTGTCGCCTACAAATAGGTACGCAAATGAACTTGTTGCCAGGCAGCGCCTATAAAGTCGGCGCTGACAACAAGTCTTTTCTGTGTACGAATGTCTTTAAAAGCGCATTTAATTATTGGCGCTTATAAGCGCTTGTTACCAGCAAGCAGGCAACCTGCTTTCTTTGTGTGCGTACCCTAAGCCACTGCACACGCTGGTACATGAAGCACAAGAGAGGGAATTATGCTCCTGAAATACCCAAATAGTAGGTATACGGGTGCCTTTTAAAAGTGGCTCACCTCTATAACTTTTTTATTTTTTAAGTTAAAAAACGAGATTTGGTATTTTAGTATATTACATAAATTAGGATTGATTGGACGTATCAAGTTGTTTTTTGTCACTTCCTGTTTCACCGGAAATGACTACAACTTTTGATTTTTAAATGGCACCCTGGGTATATTTTCACTTTATTCGATAGAAAATGACACTCTGGATAGAATGACATATCATATGTCAACTTTTAACATTTTGGCATGTGGGTTATTTGAAATTGCAACGTGCGGTTCAGAACGACAATTTGACTTAAAATAACAAGTGTGTGGTACCAAATTATTCGTAAAAAAATGCTTTTTCCATATAATATATGCCAATGAGCCACCCTTGTTCCATTTGAAAAAATTGAGACATGATTAAAAATACGATTTGAGCATCTTTTAACCGACCAGGACAATACAAGAAAAACATTATATAGACGATCAACTCTATTTTTCCAAGGCTCCTTTATTAAAAATTAGTGTTTTTAGCACAGCCATGGCACCCTGGATTGAAATTTAAAATACGCTTTTTTTAAAGTAAAAATGTCAAAAGTTGACATATGATATGTCATTCTATCCAGAGTGTCATTTTCTATCGAATAAAGTAAAAATATACCCAGAGTGCCATTTAAAAATCAATAGTAGTAGTCATTTCCGGTGAAACAGAAAGTGACCATAAACAATTGAATACCATCAATAAATCCTAATTTAGGTCATAATATACTAACATACCAAATCTCGTTTTTTATCTGAAAAAATAAAAAGTTATAGGGGTGAGCGAATTTTGAGACGCACCCGGTATATACGGTAGAATGTTCTGCAAATATTATTCTATTTAATATTCATATTATTATTACTAGCAATAAAATATATAACAAAAAAAACTCTGGATAAAATCTTAAATATCGAATAATTGATTACCATTATCATATAATAAGTTTCTTAAACTCTGTCTGTTATACAGAAAATATGAAGTAAAATTTAAATGCCACTCCAGCGTACACTCTAATTTTAACACGTTTGAACACACTGTATAGATACATAGATATACGTTAGCAACACACATACAATTTCTAACGGACTAAAAAGATCGAACGAACAAACTAGACTGAAGAAAATCGAAAGCTGAACGATCTTCTAAAAGCTGAAGAAAGAAAACGTCAAACTGGCAACAGGATGAACAAAAGGGTTATGAACAAGGTCGATATCGTTTAAAACAATGACTTTTTGATGAATGAAACTTATTATTTTGCGGATGTGCTGGTGGAAATCCGCTCTTAACTTTAAGATAGATACGTGTGCCGTTTTTGAGTAAGTTATTAGACGCAGTCAACGTTGAGCTCGTTTCATTTACATAATTTTTAGGAGACAGTTCAAGAAATCGGTAGTTTTATGGCAAAATGTCCTATGTTGAAGCTTATTGTGATATTACTGTAACACGAAAAACGTGTCTTGTTCAAAATTTCGAATTCTATAAAAATCACACATATAGTTTCGTTTTGCTTAAGAAGGTTTGATTTTTAGGCCAAATGGAACCATATTTTTTTAGGGATCAAAGAACTTATTGCCATATTACAAAGTAACAAGAAAAACTCCAAAATTTCAACATAGGACATTTTCCTATAATACCACCGAAAAGTACAGGGTGGGTCAAATTCGACGCTTTAAAGGGAAACACCCTTTTCTATAGGAGATAGACGAAAACTAATATCGGTGTCTGGAGCTCGATTTTTATCAAAAACATGACGGTGAAAACCGCATATCGATATCTGTTAGCGTTTCGGAGTTACGGGATGTTTTTCAAAAATGTGCATTTTTAACAAACCGCCGTAACATTTTTGCTATGGAAAATTTTGTATTTTCGTAAAAACATTTAGAAAGCACCTTTTTATGTAGAATTTAATGGTTTAAGTATAATTTTTAAATAAATTATTTCTGAAGTAACTTATATATTTATTATTATTTATTAATATATACTATATAAATATTTGGATGAAAATTGGCGTCTGGGAGTTTTTTGACGTGAAAAATTTGATTTTAATGTCAATATAACTCCAACTTGTAGGGTGCGCCACCTACATGTGTTTTAACTGCTTTAAGAAGTAATAACTTTTCGTCCGTACCTGTATAAAAGTATTGAGTGAAAAAATATACATTTCCGTGACATTTTAAGCAAAAAATGTCCCTTGGTAAAAATCGCTACGAGTAATCGTTCACAAGATATTTAGAATTGAAATAGTCAATACATGTCATTATTTAAAAAAAATAAACACTTTGAGTAGATAGTTATTTGACTGAAATAATAAATTCGGGAATTTTCTATTTTTTTAAATTAATCCTTAATCTTTCTGCGAAGAAATCAGCGAAGAAAAAACAGTTTCTGTTGAATTTTTGACACAAAAACCTTCCAAATTTATGATTTCGGTCTATAATAACTATTTAGTCAACATGTTTATGTCAATGATGCCTTTTTCACGTAAAAAATATCGTAAATGTATATTTTTTTACTCAGTAGTTTTATACAGGTACGGACGAAAAGTGATTAATCTTCAAATCAGTTAAAACACATGTAGGTGTCGCCCTCTCTAAAATCAAATTTCTCATGTCAAAAAACTCCCAGAAGCCAATTTTCATCCAAATATTGAATTTAAGGAAGAAATTATTTAGAAAAAATCGAAATAAAAATGAAAATTCTACACCCTGTATCTCCGAAACTAAGCCTTTTAGGACATACATTTATACGAACTTCTTTTTATCTGCAGTTTATGCAGGCAAAATTTCCGGAATACAATTCCGACCACCCTGTATATTGTACAAACATTTTTTTTTATCTGTTGTATAATTGTGCTTCTTGTATACTTGTATAACTGTGGTTCATTAATAGAAGGCGTGACCTTTAATCAGAGAATCATTCATGATAGAACTTAACTAAAATGCTATGAATAGGTAAATGGGGCATAAAAAAGAAATAAAAGTAGAAAGAGTTATATCATATAATTTATATAAATTATATTGAGTATGAATACAGTTATTTTGTATTCCATTTTTCCATTATCACTGGTTGTAAAATCTGACAAAAGGTAAAAATATTCTGACAAAAAAAATCCATTTATCAGTCTCTTAATAAGATGTCTAAAAGTATTTTACAACCCCTTTAACCATAATTAATTAAAAAATAACTTTCCCTCTTAATGATGTTCTTTATCACGACAGACATTTCTTTAATGTATATTTCATCATTTTATACAATATAATACACTGAAACCCCAGTTGTTTTTTAAATAAAAAGAAATATTTTTTGCAAAATTTGTACTTAAATAAAAATTAAAATTACAATAAATTACATATTCTATACTTTTATATTACATAAAAACGTACAGAATAAAACTAACATTAAATCATAAGATATTTTAACAACAAAAAAGCAATATGGATAATATAAAAAGTTACTTGAATTCCATATTTTCTAATTCCTTGCTCTTCGTGCAAAAGACGGTAAGAAATAAACACCACTGGCCCCAGTTTCCAGATCATCAGAATCCACGGATCTCTTGCCTCTTCTGGCAAACGACGGAAGGAAATAGACTCCACTAGCTCCCGTTTCAAGATCTTCTTCGTCGGTAGATCTCTTACCTCTTCTTGCGAATGATGGTAAGAAGTAGACACCACTTTCGCCTGTTTCCATGTCTTCTTTATCAGCAGATCTCTTTCCTCTTCTGGCGAAGGATGGGAGGAAATACACTCCGCTTGCTCCAGTTTCCATTTCTTCTTCTTCTGCTGCTTGTTTTACTGACCTTTTGGAGATTTTCTCCATTCCAAGTCCTCCAAGAGTCTTCTCTGTGTAAAGCGATCTTTTCTGAATTGGTTTTCCTTCATGTTTTTCCACTGGGCTGCAGGTGTAGAGGCTGAGACACGCGAACAGTATCACTGCC